ATATTAAGATATGGAAAACCATAAATAGTAACGATGATAAGTCGGTACTACAAAACGATCCAGATAAATTAGCCGAATGGGTTAACCTTTGGAGTTTGGAAATTAATTCCAAGAAAAGCGCGGTAATGCACCTAGGCCAGAAGTCTTACACGCTGTACTCCTTGGGGGTCAGGACTGGCAGATGTTAGGGGACAAAAGGGCCTAGGAATTATTGTAAGCCATGACTTAAAAACAACGGCAAACTGTAATCGAGCCGCAGCTAAGGCTTTTCGAAGGCTATGGGCACTTCGAAAGGCTTTCAAACGATTAGACGAGGGTATGTTCCAAGTACTCTATGCAACATATGTCAGACATCATCTAGAATACTGCATATAAACGGCCAGTCCATGCTTCTAAAAGGAGGCACACATCCTGGAGAGAGTACAGAGGGTAGGAACGAAATTAGTTAGTGGTATTTCACACCTTTATTATGATATGAGGATGGAGCATTTAAATCTCTTCCCATTATCATATCGAAGGAGGAGAGGCGACTTAATTTTGGCTTTTCGTATATTCAAGGGTGATTTAGGGATTGACATTTCAAACCTTTTCTCTCTCTCTAGGATACATTTACGCCGTCACCACAGGAAGGTGCTCAAGCCGAGGACGAATAAAATACGTTTGGAGTTTAGATTCTCTCACAGAGTGGTCAAAGACTGGAACTTCTTAACTGATTCAGTAGTAACAGCTCCATCGGTGAACGCTTTCAAAGAGAAACTGGATCTCTGCAGAGATATATATAGCGAGGATTAACATAAGCATAAAGAGCCTTCTATCCTTGTAATCTGAATCTGAATCTGAAACCTGGCGACAACTAAGGGTTTAGGTAGTGAACTTTCAGGCTAAAGATTCGGGTATAAAATAACGGATCAAACAATTGGATATGTAACTTTTAGATTCATTGTTAAGTTATTCATCAGTGACTGATTATGTCAGCTTCTACAAATTCTAATCAGTATTCCCTATTTACAAACGAACCAAGATAAGTACAACAGATGTTCAAATTATTTTCCATAACTCTTCACATTCTGAGATAACCCTCCCAGTTTTTGTTGAGTATTTTCATTTCGTCACGTCACATTTTCTGGTGCTTGAGGTTTTTAAATTAACTATTTCGCTGGGCTAACAGACAAATGGCGATGGAGTCACCAGAACTGATGCCTTCCACCTCTATGGTCATACACGGTGTTCCGGAGCTGGAAACTGGCACTACTTGTTAAAACGCATGTATGACGTACAGCAGTGGAGATGGCTGTCATCTCAGATGGCCTTTGATGCTTCTGGATCTATCTCGATTTTCCGGCTATCTCGCCTCACTCATCTCCCACTGATTAGCTCCTCAAGACTGCCAAGTGTAAAATTCACCTCCCAGGAACAGTTAGCCTTGGTAATTCAACGGCGGTACGAAAACGAGGGAAAAATGGGAGGACATATCTGGTGCTGCGAAAGCAGACCCCGAACCATAAGGAGGCAGCAAACTGAGGCCTTAATACGTCTTGAAGCCTCAGTGACACTAGAGCGATGCAGTACTGAGAATAACAGTCTGTGTCACCCAAGTGTCCTACCTGAATCCATGGAAAAAAACTACAACGGGCCGGTTCCATCGGAGTAGGCCAACTAGTCTCAACATTAAGTCCCCCACCAGCAGACGGCTTCACGTCAACTACCCCACAACACACTGAGGTTGTGAGACTCACTGTCAGCTGCCTATATTGCAATGTGAGAGGACTGAGAGGAAAAGTAGGCGAACTCAGAAGTCTCCAATCACACCTTCGACTGAAAATAATCATTCTCACTGAAAACTGGCTAACCCCCACTATCGGGAGAGACAGGGTTAATAATAATAATACTTTGACAGGCAACTTAAATATGTACACACAACGGACCTATCACTTATTGAACTCCCAGACTCCATATGGCTTCGTTTCACCGTAGGCTACACCAAGCATTCACTGGGTGGCATCTACCGATCATCCACCTGTGGGGCAGATCACAACCACCTACTGCTCAGCACCATCACAGGGATACGGGACTTAGGATATGACCAAATCACCATAGCTTGAGATTTCAATGCTCCATCACTGAACCGTGGCTCAGGGTATGCTACGGTAAATTCGGCCGAAATCTACAGCGAACTATTCGAAATACAGGACCGACTGAGAATGTTGGAGACGACCCTAGGTGGGGCACTAGTGGAAAATCATCGAAACTAGACTGCATTCTAACTAGTGACCAACTACTCGTCAAAAAGGTTCAGATCATGAGCCCTCTAGAAGGTAGTGACCATGCAGTCATAGGTTTCGATCTTGTTCTCCATGAGCACTTGTAGTGGGACGCTACGCGACTATGTCTGTGTTATAACAAGGCGGACTATGCTGAAATGGGGAGGCTATTGTCCGACGCAGACTGGCCCTTAGCATGGGATGAGCTATTTGTGATGAACACTGGGAGGTGGTAAAAAAGATTATTCATACAGCAATCTTGGATACCGTCTCTTTAGTCACAAAACAGCCCAAAGAGAAGTCATCATGGCTGAAGAGAGGCACGCAACGTATTCTGCAGACAAAGTGGGAGGCTTGGTTTACATAGCGAGTATCCAAAAGTCGGACCGACCACGACGAATACCTAGAAATTAGAAACCGGTGCAACGTGAAAGTCAGGAGTGACAGGTGGTCACTCCATGCTAACCTTGCCAAAAAATGGCGAAACCCAAAAGCCTGTACCGATTTAAGTCGGAAAGAAGACTAACCAACTCGGCGGAATGCGCCCTGGTAGGTCCAAACTGTCAATACCTTATCAGTCTGGAGATGGCTGAAACATTCAGCTTAGCCTTCGCCAAACAGTTATCAACAATGTAGGTATAACCGGCACGGACCAAAATGGTGGCATTACTAATTCACCGGGGGAAGACCTAGTGGCTACTCCCCAAATAAACCCGATAATCGTACTTGGGAAGCCTCAGAGACTCACATGTGGAAAGCACCCAGGTTGTGATAACATAAGGCCATCTGTGAAACTGTGCACCAAAGCCCTCTTTAGACCCTTACGTGACTTGTTCTAACACTCGATGGATTCAGGGAAACTGCTAAGGGAGTGGAAAAGAGCCATTCTTTCTCCGATCTTCAAGGGTGGGTATAGGCAAAGTCCCACTAGTTATAGACCAGTAGCTCTACTCCTAGTGGTATCAAAAGTATTGGAAAGTATTATTGACGATCACATCGGGGAATATCTCGATAGGTCTAATATACTCCATGAAGCCCAACACGGTTTCGGGAAAGGGAGATCCTGCGTCACTAACCTACTGTCAGCTTGGGATGATTGTACATCATGCTGGGATATGAATGTTCCAGTCCATATGGTCTTCCTAGACTTTGAGAAGGCATTTGACACCGTTCGCCATGACCTTCTACACAAAATAAGCCAGGCAGGTATAAGTAAGCCACTTCTGTCATAGTTGGAGGACTACCTAGCTGGAAGGCAATTTTGCACTAAGGTCAATCGAGTCCGATCATCTTGGCACAGCTCGTCATAAGGAGTGTCGCAGGGTTCTACCTTAGGACCACTGTTGTTTTTGAATTTTATCAATGATCCACCATACCGTCTAAGCTGCCCAACTCTTCTGTACGCTGACGACGTAAAGATATGGAGGGCGATAGTGTTCGGAGGACTCAGATAGGCTGCAGACAGAACTAAAGCGTCTGGAAGACTGGGCAGTGACCAATGGCAAGACTTTCAACCTGAAAAAGTGGAAAGTAGTGAAATCACACACATGTAGACTGCAGAATGCAAGTTACACCCTGTGCAATGAAAGCTTGTCCTGCTCAACGTCGGAACGTGACTTAGGTCTAGTTCTAACTGAGAAAATGGACACAAGCGTAAATTACACGGGGATGTAGCGAGGGTGTATGCGGTCATACACTTTACACATAGACAATTAGGTACACTCACTCCTGATCTCTTTCTAAGGTTGTACAAAACATACGTCAGACCACATCTCAAAGTGCATAATATCATTAGACCCCATTGCTTAGAAGAGATACAAACCTCTTGTAAAGAGTCCACAGACGGGCGACAAAAGGCGTGGTTATTCTCCGAAACAAACCATATGATGAAAGGATGAAGAAATTAGGCCTATCCACACCTAGCTACCGTCGTCTCAGTGGGGATTTAATTACTGCCTACAAAATGACAAATGACCAGAATCCTCCAAACAAAGGTGTTCTGACATTGAGTCGGTATGGGCTTCCCCGTGGAAACCCCTGAAGGATAGCTTACGAGAGGGCAGAGGCTCGAGCGCACTCCCACTTCTTTCCACTGCGAGTTCGCCGTCTCTGGAATTCCTTACTGGTAGATGCAGCTATGGCGCCGTCTGTAGACACCTTTAAGCGAAGGCTGGACAATCATGCAGCGACACAAGGACTGCATCCAAATAGCCTATCCCCATACAATCCCATACAATATTCAGGAGTAGACAACTAAATTCGTCGTTTTACGTCTTAACATTCTCTCTCGTCTTACTCTCCTGACCACTGCAACTATTACATTTATGATTATAATAATAATTATTATTATTGATATCGTATATATATGCATATGTATGCACATATGTATCAACTTCAAGTTTAATTAGCTGTCTGTTTTTACACTTTATTTTTTTCTGTCCTTTAGTCTGGATAACGTACACTAATTGTATCTGTTATAATTACCTGTTTTCTTTTGAAGACGATACCGGAGGACTAACTGGTGAAAGGATCAACTCCATTCACAGTAGTAAGTCTTAACACACCTCATACTACAAAACACTTATAATTAATCCCAGCCAAAGCTACGACAGTCGAGTGGCGGGACGAGCTGCTCAGAAGCTTATCGAAGATCAGGAACCTATACCTCACAATCAAGAGGCGAGCACAAAGAAATCAAATTGGTTTATACTAGCTCGTAAAAACGATATTGGATATTGAATAGCTCCAAGGTTGGCGGTCAAGAAGATTTAGATGAAGGTTGTTTTGGAGCTTGGTGATTATAGTAGGTGTAGTGTGAAAAATGGATGTTAGGAATGTCAGGGAAATACTTGAGAGTAAATTCTAGTCATTGGAAATATGGAAGATCTTCAAATAGCTTCATTTGGCTCTCCTTCTCCCTCGGGAGAAGACATAAGTTCCTCCGATATAAACTTTGATAGGACACTTCCTGGTCTACATCAGGTAAATTAATATATGTTTAAGGAGTCTTTAAGTATCTCGGTGCAGATTTTGTAGATGTAGGAGGTCGTACTTTCCTGGAGCCTGGAAGTGAAACTCACATGTATGCATTCTACCGTGCGGGTGTGGTTTTGGTACCCGGACATTCTCTCCCGCTAATACCTTACGGTCCACTAGAGTCAGATCTCCTCCAGAAGCTTAATAAGGAAAAGAAGCCGCTCATATTTCTCCCTGGATAGTAAGTTAGTGTGAACTCATATTTGATGTGTTACTGTTCAGCCGTCGTAGTCAAAGAATACACATGGGTAAAGTGTAGAAAATGAGCAGTTTTGATGGGTTGAGGCGTGGACAAGAAGTGGAGAAAATGCAACACAAATTACTCACGTGATCCTCCTATTTTTCTCTTGTCCCCCATTTGGTCAGAAATGAATTACCCATATTTCCAAACGTTACCCATAACGTTTACAGAATTAACTCGCTTTTTTCGACCTTACTCTACCCTGAACAGGATACTGCCCACATTTTAATCACTTTACCCATGTACACGAAACAATTCTCATACTGGGATCCTAGTCGTGATGCTGTCACAAGCAATGTTATTGAGACTAAATCTTAGTAACAGTCACATCCGTTGCTAATTACTGTACTTTCTGACTTTTACCCAAACTTGCTGAGGTCTGATTGCCGAACAGATGCTATATAGGTTTATATTGCAGAAATTCTTTTTTTCACTTACTACCACAATTTAGTAGGGGGATTTCAAAATAAATTTTCGCAAACTACCCATATATGCTAAGTCTGCGGAAAATTAGATCAGTGTCTAAATGATACAGTAAACAATTTAGATAGCCGTAGAAACCCCGTAGTTTTACTACAGACGTGGTTTAAGTTAGTGAACTCCGGATTAGAATACCGATCCACTGTATTTGGTTTATGAACTCATCGTAGAAGCAGCCCAGTAATCTGTCAGCCTAGTGCATACAAAATATGTTTTGGTTAACTGTGCTCTAACTCTTACGCTTTTTCTGATCACCATCGTTTGAATATCTGGGAAACTACTTAACCAATTTCCAATTTACAAAGTTATGTGATTGACTGATGTCCAACCACCATTGTGATATCAGTAAATGGCATCAGTTGAAGTTGATATTCGTTTCTTCAGCCCATTGCTCCTACATGCAGATTTTTTCTTACTTTGTATCCTGAATGAAAGTGAAGTTTCAGTAGCGTTGGTGTTGTTTTTAATTGGTGGATCTGCTTACATCACCTTTCCTATTTTCAGAGGCTTACTGTCGGCTAGTAAGCTAGGTGAGGTTTAGGAGTGCGTCGGCCGGGAATCGAATCTCGTTCCACATGCGTTGTTGGAAGACATTATACCAATAAAACACCGGCCCACGTTATATGAAGATTACTCAGCAGTATCCTAAAGGCAAAACAGTGATGTGGTAATAAAAGTAGGGGAAATCCATCTTTAAACAATCTTAAATTGTAGTGCAAGAGTGGTGCTCTGAAAACTCGCACAAAGATACTATAACGTGCCAACTTAAGCTGAAAATGTTTACTACTGTTTAAATTCATCTGACTTTGTATAGTTAAATATCATGCCCTCTTTTATTACATTTTATGTTCTTCCACCCTTCAGCTGTATTCCACTTCCTGTTATGCTGCTAAAAGTGTGATTAAATGGTCTAGTTTAGTGTGGGGTTCGATTCGTTGACCGAATCGTGTCCTCTTGTTTGTCAGACCAGTTCACCTAGCTTGATATGGATGTTTGGGTAGCATCGGAAGTTTTGACATCATATAACTGACAGCCTTGTACATAAACAGGTTGCAGATTGTTTAAGTGCAACTAAATAAACCACCCAATCATGGTTTTAGATTTATCTCACCCACATTGGCTTGAAAAACGTAATCTTACCACACACAGTCATACGTGTTAGTTATGTAGTCCAATGTATAGGACCGTATGGTGTTAGGGAGTTGTTTTCTGTACGTTCCCAAAGAACAAATTGATTTTTAGGATTTTTGTCACGTTTACAGTGCAGGAAAATTTTTATTAAAATTATGGCGATGATGAAGCAATGATTTTTGAATGGATTATTCAGGAACTTTATGGTTAATAAAATTGGTCTCTTTCACTTGTGAATCATTGTTGGTACTAATTTAGACTAAATTCGTTAATCTAACTTCGCAACACAGGAGTTAAGAGTTCACTGTCGATATTTCTAAGATTCAGTTTACAAGTGAAATTCTCTCCCATTAAGGTTTAAGCCGGATTTTTCAATGCCTTCTAAGGGTTTGCTCTGCGGCCTTTTCAAATCCTCATAGTTTATTTGTATGTTTCTTTACCCACCTAAAGTATGTCGGCCCTAAGAAAATATCATGCGCTCTTGTGCATTATGTGAATTAAATGCCGTGCATTACTTAAAGTGAAAAATTAAATAAATGCCAAAATTAATATTACCCTTCTTGTATTCATCTTTACGCAATGTAATAGTTTCAAACTTGAAGATAACATGACTTACTTGATTCTAGAGATTTTTCAAGATTATGCTAAAGGCCATATTTTGAACTTACATTGCAGTTGTCTTCAGATTATTTGTATTTCTTAACATTAATATTAATGTCTTGGAAATCATTATATTCGTTTGAACATAACTAAGATAGTTTTGAGAATGTTTAGACCTATGTGATTGAGTTTTAATGTGGAATTCTAACTCCAGTTTCAGCTAAAATTGCTCGTTGGATAAGGCAATGACTCCGCGCAACACGTATCCTAACCCTCTCAATCGATGTCGCTTCACAGCCGCAGCTATTGACTTTCCTTCCTTACCTAGCATTCTTTGCCTAACCTGGATATCGCTCACCATATTTCACCACTTATAACGAAAGGAATGACGCAAACATTTATGGTCAAAGACAGCCAATTTTGTCATATCTTCCACTTTCAATAGTCATGTATCACAGCCATAAAAGAGGAGCAAACTGATGCATAGGTTTAAGTCTTATTATGTCACAACACAGTGGGAGTATTCAATACGAGTGGAATTACACCAGTCTCCATATAATGAAAATAAGCGGTACAGTGGGAATTATCATGTACAAGGCAATATGCGGATGGTGGTGTAGCACAATCCCTGTGTTTATGCACAATTGTTATAGTCAATTGAAAATCAATCCAAGCGTCATGATACTGTTATCAGCGTTAGTAATTAGTAGTATCCTCGTCCCATTGCTTTTGTCATCTGTTTGTTCAACATGTTTCGTTGCAAAGTTTAAAGTATTTCAAATAATCAAGTGTTTATATTTTCATACTCTCGTTTTTCATTCTTTTTAAAAAAATTTCAGTTCAGATCATACAAGTTTGGCGGATTTCGTTGGTTGTATTGGTACTACGGCCGACTTAGTGGCAATATGTATTCCAGATTCCGGCGAAGATGCTCCTATTCGTGCTATGTTTATTGGCAGACAGCGTATCCGCATCACAAAGGCAACACGTGACTCATCATAGTAAATCATATCATTCAAATTGCTTTCTCTTTTACAAGCTTATTTACCATTCGTTTTGGCCACTTTTATTGTATTCCTAAAGAAAAAGAGGTTGTCTAATCGTTTTTTGACTTAACTTACTTAGCTGATCCAATTCGTAATCATGTTATATGCAATGTAGCAAATATAGTTTTCCTTCTTTCTGTTAAACAATACGGATTGAGAAAGGTATATAAGGGTAATTAAACAGTAGTGCTGAAAGAGTAGTGAATTGTTGCATTTTGTTATGCTCGGTTTCATGAAGGACAAGTTGTAGACGAAACCTGAATAATAGATTCAACTCCCTAAGGAAGTGGTAAGCACGCCTCAGTTAATTTTCGGTTTATTTTTCCTAGTATTTGAAGATGATATATTTAAGTAATCAGTCTCTCTGTTTCCGAGTTTCTATGGCTCGTTATTCTGCTCAGACCGTCGAAGACTTTATATTGAACAATAAACTTGAAACAAATCAAATCCCTACAAACTAACTCTTTTGAATTAATCTGATGCTCACTAGCAACTGACTACAGGACGAAGTCGTCTGGAGTTCTAATGAGAATTCGTGACTAATGGGGTCCAGTAGGTTGGATATAAAGAAGATGTCACTGGGTGGCGGTTGCGCTGAAATAGTGAATTCACAGAAATTAGTTTTCACAGGTCATCGAATTCCAACCCAAGTCGCTAAATGATTAGCAAGCTTGAGCTAAAGGTCCTGGGTTTGACCCCCCATGAAGTCATGGATTTGTTCTGTTGAAGAGTCCCAAGTTGGGACGAAAAAGCTGTCAATTACTACCTGATGGTTTTCAACCATTTTCTCATAATCCGTAATCAGACTTGAAACAAATCCAATCCCTACAAACTAACTGTTGAAAATAAGTTTTCTGTAACTGTATCTTTAGTTAGAGAAAATGATATTCACTGTCATTGAGAATTTCTAAATTTACATCTTCATGGAAAAAAGCTTTCAAGCTTTTATTTATCATTACTTAAAAGAAAGGCTATACTTGATTATTATGTGTTATAACCAGAAATCATGGGAAATACATTTCAGGATAATTATAAAACATGTAATAAAGCACTATTTCGTTTAAGTTAATTTTGTTTCTTCTGTTGAACCGAAATGTTAGGCTTCTGTTGATATGTTTGTTTCCTAGTACGGATGCTTCGATGATGTCTAAGGATTGACATTTAACGCATAAGTGATTTAACTTGATGTTTTATAGTAGATACGTTTATTTGATTGATTATGAGCATTAAATTGTGCTCGAAACTTCATCCAGTTATTAATTAATATGATATGATTGTGCGTGATATCAAATCAACTTACCAAAAATGTAGTTATATTCCACTGCGGTGCCCAAGTTCTATTTTTACATTGGCTTTATGTTTTCATCATATTCTTGTCCCATGCTCGTAGTTTAATTCTTCTTTTAATTACAGTCCTCTGGTTTGTCATGGCGAAATATTACCGGAAGCATCATTTAACCGTGAAATGGCTACTCATCCTTTGGGTTGGGGTTTAGTTCCTAGATCTTGGGCTCGTTTCGCTCGTGATCCACAACCGACACGTCCAAGTACATGCATTTCTACGGAATCAGTTCAGTCTACAAAGTATGTTACTTGGTATAGTTGTAATTTCATTTTTGTCTGTTATTTTCTGCTGAAGATGGTTGTTGTTATTGTTGGTAAATTGGGGAGGATCACAGTTGTTGTTTCTTTTCGAAATACATTCCTTATTGTTATTGCTTTTACAGGGCTTCTGATGATCGTTCTCCTCGTAAAAGTAATTCAAGTTGTCCTGAATCAAATTCTGTCACAATAAATTCATGTAATCTACCAGCTGGAAATCCTTTCTCTATCTTTGATTCTCGTCTAAGTACTTGGAGAAGTACAGGACCTATAAATTCCAGTGATGTATCATCTTCATGCTGTTCTACAGGTGCACGATTTGATCATTTTGTTGATGAAAGTTTAGAACAGGAAAGTAATTCAAAGAAAATAAAATGTGATCTTGATAAAATTGATAATAGAAATGATACTGATGTAAGTTGTACATCATCACATAATGACGCGACACAATCTGTGAAACCAGCGACAAAACTTGTTAGGTCGTCTTCGCTTTCAGAAGATGTTGAATTAATTGTGGATCGTGCTGTAGACCGAGTTGGTCGACCTTTTCGCTATCGTATTAAGCAGCAATGTGATCCGCGTCTATTAGCACGTCGTGATGTATTGGCAGCCGTTGCACAAGCTTATGTTCCCCTTCCGTTTTGGGTTTATCGACAGTATGATTTGGTAGGTTTCTGATTATTTAAAGAGTTTTGTTTTGTAAGTCAGTATTTGTATATCTAATATGTTAGTTGCCTGGCATGAAGACTACACGTATTGACTTTTGTTTGTTACTAGTGAAATCTCTCTAAGTGGTTGAGACTATTTGTTTGAAGGCAGTAGTACACTTTGAAGGTTGTAGTACATTCAGCAATTAAAGACGTCTGTCTTATTCTTTACTGGGACTCTAAAATACAGCTGTGTGATTTTTGAAGTGTGTGGGCGGTCGCTACTGCCAGGCTACCCACGCCGTGGAAGTTGAGGTACCTGAAACAGAAAGAGCATTAATGCTGCGCGGCGGCAGAGCCTAGGGGACGACTGTTTTGGGCCCGTCACACACGACCTGTTTGAATTAGATTTCAGACTTGTGTCTATACTTAGTTCTTATTACCAGCTACAGACTGCCTCAAGGTAATTTGGGATATGCAGTCTTCGGGCCTGACTTTTTATAACTCCCCTCTTCAGAACGGATAAGTAGTGTAGCTGACATACTGCTCTTCTAAGGGAAACACCTTACTTCTATTACAACCACTTTCCCCAGAAGTACGACTTCTCCCACGGATCCCCAACATAATGTAAACAACTCACACTATAACATGAATACTTTTAGTAATTTGGTGAATAGTGACTAGTAGTGCAATCCAAGCTGCGTGTTTCGTCCTATTTGGGACTCGTCATCTAGATTTACCTTCATTCCCCAGTGAGTGGTGGTGTTACCACTGAGTATCGAACCCATCGTTTCAAACGCCAAAGCGTTCCTGAATAGGACGAAATCTGCATCCTATATTCCACTGCTAGTCACCATCCATCAAATTACTTCGGATTTAATCTTCAGACGTTGTGGAAGCATCTGCACAACGGGCTGACATATCAACAGAGGTCGAATATTTCGATCCAATCAATCAACAGGAAAATCAAAATTGAATTAAAAATAAGTAATAAATGCTTTTGGTCTAATTGCTTTCCAAACAAATTTCTCGACATGCTACGACCTGCAGGTTCATTAGTTCCAGCCAGTGTAGCTCAATAGGTCATTGCGGTATGCAAGCCCGACCACCACGTCAAGATAGCAGCTATCGATTAGAGGGAGTCTACAACTATCTCACTTTAACATTTTGTTTGTCGTAGGCTACATCAAGAGTAATAGCAACTCACATTTAGAATTTAATCAGTGAAGAATAGCATATGTCACAGTTTAAAATGATGTATAATGTGGTGTTACATGTTCTTGGGGGAAAAAGAGCGTTATCTGACCAGACTACGTAGATGTTGTACAAATTTCACATCTATTGACCTTTTTCAAATAATATCGAGTGAAGCAGTATATTTTTTCAGTTATTGGTGTTAATACATTTTCACGCACTAGGGAGATTCACTATTATATCGAACAGACATGTCTTTGATGAATAAACTTTAACTTCATTTATGTATAGTTTGTTGAATAAGCAATCAGCAGGCTGAACTACCTCTTTTCTGTCGCTTAAGTGTTCAAGAATATTGTGCTTTTCAATTTTATGTAAACATGATCATGAGAGCACAAAAATACTGTCCTTTGAATTAATATAAAAATAATCAATTCAATTATGTACTCCAATTTATCCTAACTAGCCTAGGCGGCTAACCGTCGCTAAATGACTCATGAAGAGAATTTCTTTCTGTTCATTGGTTATCTTTGTCATTAAGGCGGTGGGAATGTACTATCCGTGCAACTATTAAACACTAATGATGAATGGTGTTTGAATATTCATACTCTTGAATTCGTACTTAGTCGGTGATCACTAGTTGTCTTAATAGATGTTAACAGGTTAAATAGTAGAATGGTTGGTAGCCACGCGGGAAGTACTGGTTCTATTCCCTACCGACTGACTCCTGAACTTCGTTGAGTCGAGTCAGCCAGGAGAAGAGGAAAGGTTGGGCGTGAGTGTAGCAACTCCATCCTATAAGAGCGTCAACACTGCTAATAAAACTTCAAAGCTTGGAGCCTTATATTCCACTCGGAACTCAAGGAATCGAAAAAAGCGGTCATCTCAAGAAGTGGTTGTCATCAGCATTCTGTGGCAATCAAACTTTCATCAATCCAGCTAACAGTATTGGAAAGTTAAGTTAATGGCACTAGATGAACTAAAGTCGATTTATGCCATAAAGGCATTTATTATCTCTTCCACAATCTTGTATACTTTGGTCATCGACGGTTCTTTCTTTTTCCTTATAGATTGTTTCTACATAATTTGAGATTTGCGAGACTACTGTGTGATATTTCCTCTTCGTATAGGATCTTCAGATAAAATATTACTTGACAGTAAATTCTGCAATACAGTAATGTCTGAATCGTAAACCAATCCATTATGATATTTATTCTTTGTCTCTAGGGTAATATTTTTTAAAAATTTTGATTATATCTTGATTCCACACAGCACTTTTGGTACAAGTATGAAATTTTCAGCATGTGATATCTGTCGGTCGGTTTTCGACATAGAACTTTGCACATATGTGCGGCAGTTCAAGTCGCCACACTCCATGTAGCACGCAAAGCAAGAGAAGAAAGTAGAAGAAATGCATAATATAGACAGTAAACAGAGGTGGGAGACAAAGGAATAGTAATAACGGAGAACAAAACAGTTTAATTGGAAATCATAAGTCACAAGGAGTGGATGCATCTGCGCCACTGAGAACGATTTTGAGCCATATCACCAATTGTTTCCAACCATTGGTTTTTACCGTCCCGAGGACCCCAACCAGGAAGTCTACATCTTCCTACGTGGCTTAGTCCAAATTTTGCAGGCCGACCATTGATATCAGGTGTGCATCCGCAGGGGATCAAACCCCGGACCATGTGCATGGTCGGCAAGAGTCCTAACCTCTGTACCACGACATTTGTTTGAAAGCCAATTGTAAAACGTCCAGGAGTACATTTAGAAAACCAGTGACATAACTCAGGAACAGTTGTCTCATGTATTGGGAAACATTGCCACTCAGGATTATGCTTTTCCTCAAGTTTATTAGAAACTGGGGAATTACCACTTTGTAAACACTTTAAACACTCTCAAAAGAGTGAATGATACCATTGGAGGTCATATTTTAGTTTATCAAAACAAAATGAACAAGAGAAATTATATGCGGTATAGTTGGCGGTTTTTTTGTAGCCCAAGTTTTAAACACGTCGCCGTGATAGAAGTTACTCTGCATGTGTATCTTTCTGTACATCCATAAAGTATTCTAAAGTTGCTTTTACATTGGATAACTGTAATTTAAACTAATATTTTTATCAATTCATTATGTACATCTAAACTTTCAATCTATCTTATATTCTTAGAATTATTTAGTCTCAGCTATTCAATCAGAATTGTATAATTGGAATGATACATGGAAAGTTGATAAATGGAGTCCTGAATTAGCTGTACCTTTCTCTTACTGGTTAATACAAAATCTTCCAATGTCCGGTTCATTAAAATCTCATATATTGGGTATTGATCATGTGGTGCAACGTTTACGTGCTTTACTAGAAGTTATACGTCGTGTAAGACTTATTCTTTAATGCATATATATATATATAATTTATATTAGTACCCAGTCCTTTATAACTTCTTCATTATTTCCTATTTATTATGATTTTAATTATTTTGCTCGTAATTCATTAGTTAAATTGAGCATCGGGAACCATTATCATCGCATCACAAGATTTTTGTTCGTTACAGGTTTGGTCACAAGTTGAGATCGTTTAGAGAACTGTAGGAAATCCAGGGAGTACTAGATGACTGTTTCGTCCCAGTTTGGGACCCTTCAGCAGTACGCACCCACTGAGGCCCGAATTTGGTATTCCATAAGAAAAATGCACAATGTGTATGATTAGTGATTTGTATTTTAATTTGAAGCAGCTGTTGCCAAATGCAATAAAATTATATACGTGAGAAAAATATGAAGTAAAGGTTATTGGTAAACTTGAATTATATCCCTAGAATATTTCGTGATCATTTTTTAAAAAGCCGATGACTATAAAAATTACCACACGACTTGCTATCATTTGGAAGCAGTACCACCAAAAATGGCAATTCACAGTGATAACCAAATTCAAGTTGGCAGTTGTGACCAGATGGGTCAACCAAATTGGCTGTCAGGGTAAGTACTCGCTGATAACATTGGCTCGTAGGCGCCCTGCATATCGTGAATTGTCAGAAGTTAGAATTCATAATCCGGTAATTATATCCCGTCGCAGTGGATAAATGATCAACGAGCTCATCTTGTAACCTGAAGGTCCTGGTTTCTATCCCTCGTAGCGTCACTGGTACGTACTGTTGAAGAGTTGTAAGCTAGGACGAAACAACTATCCAGTACTCCCAGGTTTCCAATGGCTGTCTAACTGAGGTCAGTTCGTGATCGATCTTGATAACTAATATAGCTTGTATATATTTAGGAATCCATGATACTGGAGCTTTCTTAAAACTTTTTGCTGTTTATGTTGCTTAAATTCTACGTAATTATATATTGTATTTTAGTTTTAGATTATCAGTTAATGACTGTATGCATATTATTGCAGTTGTTTGTTATCACAACTCGTTTATTCTGCATCTAACTGTATATGTATATCAATATTTGATGAACTGTGACTTTGTACATGTAGCATTTCTGATATTGTTGATGCACACTTACTATCCTAGTGTTTACTTACCTTGTGTACAGTCCCAGTTTGTATGAATTCGTGATTGTGAAGCATTGGATGTAAACAGAATGTGTGTGTGTGTATAATTATTCACCATAGTGAGTACAGCCTGTCGAATACTGAAAATTTGGTCAGTCTATTTCATCATATGAACAGTGAATATTGTTGAACTGTGATGATATTGATATTCCTACGTCTTATTACATGGTGCCCAACACAGCTGTAAAGTTATTGAGAACATCATGTTATTTGCTGACGGGTGACTATCAGCGGAATACAGGATGCACGGTTTTCTTCTTATTTAAGGCTCATCAGTTGGGTGTACTTGCAATCCCAACTGTGAGAGTTGGTCCCATCATGCATCATTTCAAATGCCAAAGCGTTATCCACTAGATCACTCTTGTGCTACGAGTTGCCATCCACTAAATAACGCCATTTCAGTCCTTAGACATCGTCGAAGAGCTGACATGTCAGCACAAGCCAAACATTTCATTCCAATCAATCAATGGGAAAAACAAAATTGATCCACAGGAGCAGTTAAACTCTTAGATGCATATTGATGAGGCCATCATTAGTAATTTATGCTTGACGCTCTGTGTAATTGCTGGTTTAGTTGAGAAACTGAGCACCAGTTTATTACTCACATAAATTATCATTCCATCTTGTGCTTGTAGCGCAATGCGCTTTTTCATTTAATTCTAATTTTTCTTTACTGGTCATTACTGTATGCTAAAATTAATGGACTTATAATTGAGGAGTCTGAAATGGAATTTACTGAAGACATTTGTTCACTTTGATTATTCTTGTTCTGAATAAACCTTCTAAAGTCTAATAGATACGAACACTTCATATCGGCAGAATCAATGATGACTGGTATTACCGTACAACCAACCACTTGAAATTCCATGTAGCTGTCTGTGAGTCACACCTATTGTGTGTGACTGTTAGTGATACTACCTGGCTACCTAAACCTTGGTAAGTGGAGCAGAAATCGAGCGCCATATGCACGTGCTCCGGGTTGGATTCCCGGTCGACGCATTTCTAATCCTCGCTTAGCCGGTAGAAAGCTCGGTGAAGAGGGAAAGTTGGACATGAAGCTAATAGCCCCTCCAGCAACATGTGATACTGAAACTTCGAAGCCTATGCTTAAAGCCTTATATTCTACTCGGAACACAAAAAGAATGGGAAAAGGATAATTGATAACTTAAAATTGATTTAAGCTATTTAAAAGAAGTATTTAAACGAACAGTTATTTCCAGCAATTCTCTTCCTGGTTTGTACAGATAAATATGTAGGTGTAGAGCTTAGGTATATAAATTTACTCAAAACAAATTGAACCATTCTGTCGTATTGGGAGTACCTCATGAAGTGCTTGTTAGAAAAAAAAACATATCAACATTGAACCTTTTGCTAATCTGTACTACAATAAAGCGTGTGCATGACCAAATTAAATCCATCAGATGTGAAGATGAAATCTTCCCGGAAAACAGAACTACCACTGAGATATTTGTTTCTTTTTTCAAATACCCCTTGAATTTGTCGACACTGTGAAGCCACTTTTTTCAACATTGCCGTTCTTGTCGTATGATTTGTTACTAATCATGCTCCCCCCCCCCTTATTTCTGTATACTTCAGTCAACTGCATGTGTATGTGCATCGTGTGATGCAAACATTACTTCAAATCAACACATTATTTGTCTTGCTCAAGAAGGAAGTTCACAAACATACGTGAATCCATCTGGTGTTTTACACGATATTGTGACTGTCAGTCAAGTCACGACAAACTCTCTTAATCTTGTCGGTGAAGCGTCGTCCGAGTATTCTTGGTTTCCTGGGTAAGTTCACATACATACTACATCTGTCTTATTCCTCATTGTATAGGCTTCTTTCTACTTTCTCGAAAGAACTTTTTTTAAAGTACAAAACTTTAAGGTACCACAATTTTACGGGAAGCACACAAAAGTAGAAGGAAAAAATGATATGATACTACAATGGACTGAGTTAGACAGGCGAAAGAATAATTGGAAGAAGACTACTGAGGATTTTCAGAATCTGAAGTACAATAAAGAGTGAATTCATTTATGTCTTTGAGAACGATATTGACGCTTATCACCAAAAATAACCTAATTATTGATTTGTAGTAGTTCGAGAACTTCAACCAGAGAGTCTACACCCCTATGCGTAGCTCAAACCAACAGTTAATGAATTCATAGATTCATTCCGTGTCACCACCTTTTGTCTTTTCTGATCTTGTCATAATTCAGCTAAAATTGCTATCTGACTAAGATAGTGTTTTGAAATGTGTAACATATTTCCCTGCCATCACAATCGATACAGCTTTATAATCTCATTGATTGACTTTTTTCCCTTACCTAACACTTTACGCTCAACCTCAGTTCTGCTACCATATTATGCCACCCAACACGGAGGATGGGACGCAAATACACCTATGATCAAAGACAAATAACCTCATCAGGTCTTCCGATTTCAACGGTCGTTTCTAACACCCTTACCCCAAACTAGCATAGCAAACGATACACATCAGATGTGTATATCTACTTCGGACACCCATACTGTAGTTAATGCCTCAGCCAAGCTACACAATAATTCAGCGTCACCATCTTTTGTCGCTCCTGGAATACTTCCATCAGGTTCTGCTGCTTTTTTCTTTGCAAAATAGGGATGACATTTGAAGCCTTGGCTATAGTTGAAGAACTTATGTCTACATTCTATTCAGGCAGAAGTTAAATGATAGGCAGCTCTATTAAGACTGTGAGCGAGCTTTACTCGTCTTCACTGCGTTCTGCTCAACTTTTCAGCAAGTGTTATTCAAGTTCAATCCTTCTCAAAGCTAATTTTTCCTATCAAAGGTTTCTTAGAGTGTGTTTCACAAGTGAGTCTGAATAGTTGACGGGCTGATACCTTTGTCATTTATTTCGTTTCCAATCACTGCTGGCTGTGTTTACAAATACCTTTTAGTCAGCTTATATTTGAGCATCTTTTGCTGCTCATGTTTAGAGCTTGCTTGGATCGATCTGTTCGCATCGTTTAGTTCTTGTGAAACTGCAAAATTCAGGTTATCTACAGTCTTCACCACGGTTTCGACAAGAGACTGGTTATGCTACTAGGTTTCTTATGGAAGAGTACTGTTGTCACTTTCAGGTGTGCTCTGAGTTGTTTCCTCTTCAAATACTAGCTTCAAGCTCTTATCAAAAGGGCTAAACACATAATGTCTTTGCAGATGCTTGTTCTCTACTTTCCTTCAGTTGCAGGCGTACACATGCCCGGACTAATGGATGTTCTGAGTCCACGTAGCTGTTTCACAAAGAGTTGAGATCTTTAATTTCTCCTCCCCCCTCAGCTAGATGATTTCGGTGGTCATCACCAGGTGAGGTGATGCGTCTCCCCATGTTTGAAATTATTGCTGTCCAGATACGAACAGTTTATGTGAACATAAAATTAGTCGTTGGATGAATATTTACCATATTAAAAATCTTATCATTCCTTTTGTATCAATTATGTAACTGATTGTTAGGCATATTTGTTCTTATTTTAATCTAAGTAGACATTTTAAGTCCTTCCCCATTATACAAATAATTATTTTCAGAATTTGAGAGTTGGATTGATTTCAATTATTAGATATAGTCACGAACTGACTTCATTGTCGGCTACTGGATGTACGTTCTACTACTTTAGTGGGAAGTCCTAACCAGTGGAGTCCACCATGTCAAGATGAAGTGGATGCTCATCGAAGGCATTAGTTAAGGGTCATTGATTTCCATCCGTAGTGGTTAAATGGTCAACGAGCTTGGTCTTGTTACCTGAAGGTCGCGGGTCATTCAAACTGTAAATTTTAGATAACAAATCACGCAGTGTGAAGAGCGTTAGTCGGGTAGAAACTAGAATTAAATTAGGTGGATTGAGTGACATAATATAATTGTGATGGGATTGAGTAAAAGTCAACTAAAAATGAACGAGAGTCAGGTTAACAACAGTGATAGTAAGGAGTAGAAATTTAAGAAGGGGGAGGGGGAGGAAATAATATAATTAAAGAACAAACGACAAAAGTTATTTATCCTATGTAAACATAGTAATTCAAAGAGGATAAACATTCGTAAACCCACTGATTATTTGAAGGAACTCCAGTTGAGATGTACTCTAAATGTCCAATTCTCTTTAAATAATGAAATATATGAAAAAAAGAGTGATATAGCTGTGGGTTTACCACCACCAGTTGCTTGCAGATTTCTTAATGTCAAAACTCGGAAACATATACTTGAAGAAAATGATTAACACCTTTGGATTTTACAACAGATACTTGGATTATACTTTCATTATCTCCAGTAATGAAGGGGATTTGGAAGACATCCTGGATTTTCTTAAAAGCTGCCACTTCCATTCTGCACTCCAATTCACATCAGAGAGGGAGTCGAACTCAGGAATATTTTTCTGGGTGTTCGATTAACAAGACATAAACAAGATGAAGCACTTTAGTGTTTCATCCATCCATCTATAGAAAACCGAAATGGAAAGGACACCTCACTAAATTTCATAATTGGGTACTTCTGTATACAAAACGAAACCTTATCCTTTCATTGAGCCGCAGCATTTGCAGCGCTGACACTATGGAAGAGGAGCTGAATTCTGGGAAGAATTCTCCTTGAAAATGGCTGCCCAAGAATTTTCGTCACAAAATCCATGATACTTGAACCACTTGAACGGCCCACACCTTCTGCTCCAAAATGACTTCTCTATTCTAATCTATATATAATTCAATGGAGACTCATCGGCAGAAATACTGAGAAACCTCTGGAGAAAACCTTCTTCGCGGCTGAACTTCGACTAACTTTCTCTACGAAACCAATGATTCGCAGGAACGTGAGGGATAAGCTACCGCTGTTGGCCTCATCAATGTGCATCTACCAGCTGACCTGCTCGTGTGTAGCTAGTTATGTCGGTCGTACCCGTCGTTTGCTATCCAAAGGTACCATCGAACAATTGCCCCCACGGTTTTATAGAGGAGAAGAAAGAATCTCCGCAGGTCTATCCTGCAACACCTGATCGAATCTGGACATCAACCTAGCCCACAAAGGGACCTCAGAGTCATCCACAGAATACTCAAGAATTTCCCTAAAAAAGTACGAATCAAACTTCTTCAAACCACAGAAGCAATAGTAATTCACATGTTAAATCCCACACGCTGCATACATAGGAAGTTTGTTCAGTCACTAAATCTACAACGGACCTGATCTGTATTAACACTGGATACGTAATTTCTATTTTATAATTGTTTTATTTTCTTCCCTCACCCTCTGATACTACTGTTGTTAACCTGACTCTTGTTCAATTTGGGTTGAATTTCACTCACTCCCGTCAATTATATTACATTACTTGACTCACTTACCTGGTTTCATTTTAGTTTCTACCCGATTAGCGCCTTTTTGTATTACGTAATTCGTTGTCAAAAATTTACAGTTCGAAAAACGCATCTTTGGAAATATTCCTTTTGTTTTTACTTGCTATGTATGTGCTATTTTACAGCCTGAGAATGATATCACTGAAAAGAATAACTCTTCATTGAACGTCTGTTCTTTTATATGACTCAATCGGGATTTCTAAGTTGTTAATCTGTAGTAATCAGTTAGTTAGTTCATAGTATCTGATGTTCTTGTTTACTTTCGTAAAAATTTTTATTAGTGAATTTGTTTCTTTTCACTTGATCACCGATGCTTTTTCGTTTATTAAAAACCTTTTCCCCCTCTCCAGATATTCTTGGACTATAGCCAATTGTAATGCTTGTTATCAACATATGGGTTGGTTATTCACCGCTTTAAATGATCAACTACGTCCAAGAAGATTTTGGGGTATTCGTCGTCAGGCAATTGTACCCGGTTTAATTAGTGCATCAGATTGGCGTCCTTGTATCTAAGTATCACATTAATGGAAATCTCTGTATCCATCTCTCTCTCCCTATCCCAACTCGAGGCATTCTAATCAATGATGGATTTCACAGCGCTCTTCGTTTTTTTTTTTTGGTCATTACATTTCATGTGTGTTCGACCTGTCCAGTGACATACACATATAATATGTGCACGGAAGGAAGTTGTTTTTCTTTGCGCAAATTAATTTTGCTTCTATGCATGCACCTTTTTTTAATTATTAATCGTGTGTTTTGTTGAATTTCTCACACCAAACACACCCTTTAGGATATTTCTCGTGTTTTTTTTCGTTGTTGTTTTTTATACACGAATTCCACTGCTCATCAGTATATCACAGTTGTTGTCATCGTCATCAGTAGCATAAATAGGCGGCGATAAAATCAAACTGTGCTGTATTATTGATTATTTCTCTCTTCTATGCTTTGATAAAAGTCATATAACAGACATTGTGTAACATTCTGTTGTTATCTTTCTTTCTTTTTAAAAAAAAATTTAGGCTTTTTGTCGCATTGATGTACAATTAGTTCCCCTGCTTTAAAGTATCTTTTCAGCTCCTACGATATTCGAAAGTCTACCCAATTTTTGATTTCGATCTGTTTGTTTTGTGTATGTGTGTGTATTGACTTTGTTCCTATTGTCCTAAACATGTTGTTGTTATTGTTTGTTTGTCACCGTCATTTGTCTGTTTTTTTCTTTTTGTTCTGAGTCACGTCTCCTTCTTCGTTCTCCTACATATTTAGTTGGAGTAGCGGTTTTATCAGTTTGTCATTTTAAGATGAGATGAATAAGGCCAGTTATGCTTGAATCTGCTAGACTGAGGAAAAAACGCGTTTACAAGGAATGGTTTATTGCATCTATTTTGTACACTTTGCGCCTATAAAATGTAATTAATAATAATTTATTTTACAGTGTTATTCTATTATTATTATTTTTTCTGGAAGGGGCGTACAGTTTGTTCTCAATCTGGTCTCTAGAGAGTAAATTCCCTTAAATTTCGATGAGAATATAGATCTTCAACAACCAACACACCTCGATTTCATCCTGAACTCTGCAGTCATTTTTAGCTGGCTCCATTATTTCCCATAGGCTCTCACCTCTTCATACGATCTCCTCCATGTCACCTTCAGACATACGGACATTTCCCACTTGGGTTCCACTCGAATGATGACTTAATGCGGTATGTCATTCATCGGCCTCCTCAGCGTGTGTCCTACCCATCTCCATTTTCTTTGGCATCCTTGTTAGCTAACAGGACCTTAGTTTGTTGGTTGCCAGATTTTATTGCTGCTTATCATTTTTTGCCGGCCGTTTGATCTTCAGTATAGAGCCAGCAAAAGTCTGCAGTAGCCTGTTGGGAATGCTTTCGGCGATTTTGCACTCCAACTCTATGAAGTATATAGAATCACTAACTTGACATCAGTGTTGAAAATCGGAATATTGTTTTTTATGCTGAGTACAGCAGATTTCCAGACTACTTTCAGAGTAATGAACGCCTGTCCTTGTCTTTCCGATTATAGGAAAAAGTAAAAAGACAGTTGCAGCTAATAGAATTTTCTTTTTGACTAAGTCATCAACTAGGCCATACATTTATATATATATAATAAGTGAGTGAGAAAGTTCCAGAACTACTTCTGATCGAGGGGCATACTGATAAATTTACAAACAGGGAGTAAAATGTAATAACAGAATAAACAAGAAGATGGGATAAAAACATAATAAGATCTAATTATTGAGAAAATTGACTTTTTGTGCAATCAGGGATTAAAAACTTAGTTTCAAAAAGGTAGGCAGAAAGTTCGGATAGAAAAACATAATAGTGCAAATAGGGATTAAAAAACGTAAAAATAACAAGTAAACAGGAAGTACGTATAAGAAACTCAGTTGGATATTATCCCTATTGGAAGGATTTATTTTATTTATGATAGCCGTGGTTGGGACAAAGGTTAGACGTATTTCTTTTGAATACATAGCTTGGGCTTGAACTTTTGGATCGCTAGTGCCTTAGCTATGCCCAGATGCATTGATCTCACTCCTTTTGAGAGGTCTGATCGAATTTTGTATGCGACTTTTCAAATGGGGCTGAATGTCCTGAGTTTACCAGTTTCAGGAATAAGTCAAATACTTCACGTAAATTCTAGGTTGTGCAGTTTTCTGAGAAATATTCCCAAGTTATCTGTTGTTCAGGTGATGTTAGTTTAATTAAATTTGAAAATAAATGAGTATTGCTAATTTCTGTTGATCACTTGATGTAAGCTGACTATTTCATCGCGACTGGTTTATCACTTCAACCTGTACGAGATATGTTAAACTCCTTTTATCATCCGATAGCCAAATACTTGGTGAAACCCTTACACCTTGTGCATATTCAGTTAATGAAACACAGAGTTAAAAGAATACCTTCGAATTTTTTGAAATAATAAAAGATTTATGTATGGAGAACAAACTCATAATGTTGTTTGCCTAATCTTCTTTATCACTGATAGAAACAGTGGATTGTACATGCGAAGAACTTGTTAGATGAAACATAGATGTTGGCATTCCTGTATTTTCTATGAACGAACTTCTCTTGAAATGAACAGGGAATGTGATTTTTTGATTGCCCACTAGTCAATAACTAGTGTGCAATCAAAAATATCCAGTACAGTCCTACAGGAGGTCAACTGCGAGCCTGAATAGCTCAGTGGTAACGTCTCTGACTGTAGCACTGGGTGACGCGGGTTTGAATCTCAGAAGGGATATGAGTTCGTTCAAGGTTGCAGATACGCCTTGCTGATGAGTACCGACTAGCACGAAACCTAGGTCCAAGGCTTCCTGTGGTCGATTGACTCCAACCATCTAATGTGATTTTTATATTTAATAAGGAATCCTATTGATCGGGTTGCCAATAGGACCAACTTTAGCTGACCTTTGCTTCACAAAATTAGATAATGGACATTTGAAAGGTGTAACTGGTAAACTAGAATTCTTCTGTCCTTCACATTCTGAAAAAAAGAAGCATAGAGCAGCCTTGAATTAGTTGTGTCCTCTGAGCTGTTTGATTTAACTGAGAAGCTTTCGTCGTCCTTCTAGAGAACATCTTCAGCTCAGGTTTCAGTATAAAATGAACTCATTTAAATTCATCATGAATGATGTAATTGTATCTTCTGGCGACCACTGTCGTGACTGGTTGTTAATTTACGTCTCTATTGATCATTTTCATTGACTTGGAATTCTAACTTTCTAGAAAAATTCCTAGAGATTTTAAATAGAGGAAACACCAAAAATATGAGGGAATTCCTAGAAACCTGGTTGGTAGTCAAGTGAATTAGCAATTAACAAACACACTATTATAGACCAAATTTACCAGCTAATAAAAAGTAAATCACATGACAAGAAAGATCAAATTCCAAGTTAATAAAAGTGATCAATAGAGACGTAAATTAACAACCAGTCACGATAGTGGTCGCCAGAGGATACAATTACATCATTTATGAAGAATTTAAATGAGTTCATTTTATACTAAAACCTGAGCTGAAGATGTTGTCTAGAAGGACGATGAAAGCTTCTCAATTAAAACAACCACCTCATAGGACACAATTAATTCAATATCATCCACTTGAGCTACAAATCTCCATTATTTCAAAAGAGCAGTCTTGATAAATTTAATGATTTGCGTTTTACAATAAATTTTACCATCGAGAATGAAAGAAATGATTGTATTTCATTCTTAGTCATAACCATGACTAAGACTATGGTATAATATATATATATATATATATATATATATATATATATATAACTTACACCTAATGTTCAATGTAAACATCTTTTCATTTTATACCTTTGAAATTTAAAGGCAATTTACTATTATTATTATTCCCTTGGGTTCCGAGTGGAAAATGGGGCTTCAACAATACATCCTCATTTTGTCCTGTTTTTTGCCATCCTCTTCATCTGGGTCCACGATTGCCCATAATCTGTCATCTACTCCGCCCCAAACGATCTCTTCCATGTGACTCTCACACTGACAACTCATTCGTCGTTTCCCATTTGGATTTCACTCGAGTGATGGCCTGGCTCAATGTCATTCGATGGCCTCCTCAACTTATGCCCAATCCATATCCATTTTCTCCTACATATTTGTTGAGTAATCGGCTCTTGGTTGGTTGCTAGAGTAATCTGATCTTATGATAGTCTTAACGAAGAACTCACAATTATCAGAACATCACTGAGTAAAAGATAGATAGCAGAGAGCCGAACGCAATGGAGACGCACAGCTGAAGCCCTATGTTCCTCTAGGAATTAAAGGAAATAATAATAAAAGATAGATATCCTGAAAAGTTTATCTATTAAAATATGAATTTAACGCCAAGCTATTATGTCAGCAGCTGTGGAGAAGCCTTTGTTCTTTAAATTGCAATTCCTTAGTCATTGTGGAAAAGTACATACAGGACAATGGTTCTCCTCAAGAATTTTGTAGATAAATATGAAACAATACCAATTATGAATTAAAAAAATCAAATACACTGGAGAAGAAATCAATCTTCTAAAAATATAAATTCAAAGATGACAAAGTATTTGAAAGAACCAAATTCAAATTACTTACTGCACGGAAGACGCGACTTTCTCAGCTACCGAATTAGTGACACTTCATAGAACAAGTGTTTCACCGAAACAATGTAGGGTTGACAAATTTTCCTTTCTTGTTGGTTCCAATTGTATCTACCAGTGCGTCCGTGGCACAACGGTTTAGACCCTCGCCGACAGTGCACATGGTCCGGGGTTGGATCCTCGGCCGACGCACTCCTTTACCTCACTAAGCCAGAAATAATGCTGGTGAAGAGGAAAGGTTGGGCATAAGGCTAGCAACCCCATCCTGTAAAAATAAGCCCTTTTGCAGAAACTTCAAGCCTCTAGCTTGAAGCCCTATGTTCCACTGGGAACGTGAAGGAATAGAAAAAAAGTATACATCTGTTGACGCACATAGATCGAATGAACAGAGAGACTGATTTGTGAGTGTATATCTGACCGTATCCCAAAAAGTTAACTAAAATGTGTGAAAGTTTCCAGTAATACGTTTGGTCTCCACTGAGTCGACGATAGTGGTCACCAAACTGCTGTTTTAAAATCATTTGACCGAAAATAAAGTCCAGGTTAGTTTCAGTTTAGTAAGTATCTCTAAAGCAGGATGGTCGTTAAACGATTAAAGCCATACGTGTGCATTCAGAAAGTGACTGTTTTTAATCTTCTTCTAGAATGGTATTGTTTATTTTACGCCTCTATTCAATTTTTAACACCCACTCCTAATTCTAGAATATTCTTGTAATTATTTGCATACATAAACTAACTAGTTTAACAAAAGTTTCTATTCTTTCGACTATGCTATTTAATTACATAATCTTAATGGCTTCTGTCACAAGTGGTCAATAACTAAACTATGTGAATATTTTTGGTTTATTGTAATAGTGAAGTTGTTTAGATTGTATGCCCAGTTGACAAAATCGAACGAAATAAAATGATATCACATATTGTCCTCTTAAATTTGTACATCTTGTTATACTCAAATGAATTATAACTTAATATAAATTATTCACTGAGAAAAAAGATTTATTTATTACAAGTTTGATCACATACTGATGTCAGTTGAGGAACCACAAAAGAAAACAGGGCGAACTTGATAACTGTTTCGGCCTAGCTTGAGACTCTCCAGCAGTACTCATCCAAGATGCCACCGAGGATTGGACATTGGCTGGTGGTCACGCTAAGATCGTTGATTGACAGAAGTTAGAACTTGGGAGTTATTGAGTTCTGGTCCAAGTGGCTGAATTATCAACCTAGTGGCGTAAGGACGCTGGGTTTAATGCCTCATACGTTTTGTATAGTGCGTAATGCCGAAGAGTCTCAAACTATGACGAAACGGCTGTCTAGTACTGCC